TGCGGCTTGGTGCGCCATGTTGGTGGGCAGGCGGCTCCCAGCGCCCTCTGACCTGAGCTGGTGCCCCGCTCGCCCTGGGGCAGGACGGGGCATGGCTGGTCCCCACAGTCCTGTGTTCGCAGAGGGACGCGGGCCTCGCCTCTGAGGTCTTCTGAGCCGGGGCGGGTGCATCTCGCTGGTCTCTTCCTCGAGTTCCAAGTAGCAGGAGCACCCTGCGCTGTGGAAAGAGGAGGAGGAAGACGGGGCCGTGTGCAGCCCCCAGCACCGCGTGGCTGTGAGCGAGTCCGTTTCCCGTCTAGGAGACCTCAAGGCCTGCTCTGCCCTGGCCGTCCTGAGACGAGTTGACGGAGGTCTTCGTCTGTCAGAAGACGGCCGTTTTCTGTGGCCCAAGTGGACACCGTAGCTCGGGCCACATTCCTGTACCTTAAGGGATCAGAGACTGGGGGTCGCTGGGGGGTGCTGGAGGCCAGGGAGCCCAAAACTGCCCCAGGACCTCTGTGCGTTCTGCAAACAGCCCTGCATGCAGAGAACGTTCCAGAATGATTCCTGGACTGTCCAGCGCCATCCCGGGACCTTCTGGGCGTCTCTCAGGGGCACAGCCTTGGGGTGCAGCCAGTCACGGAAGCAGGTGTCCCCCTGTGCAGCTCTGCGGGGAGCAAGCTGGCCTTGAGGTGGTGGTCCTCTTGCCCCTGCCTGCCCCCGGGTGCTGGGTGGCAGGCGTGCACCCTGCACCCAGCTGGGATGCGTAGCTCTGTAAGAGGAAGGCACAAGAGCCTCTGCAGTCCCCTGGAGCCCGTGAGCAGGCCAGGGAGGGAGCGTGACCCAGGGCCACCGGACCTCGGTGTCTTCACAGAAGCCAGGTGGGAGCTCCCGCTGGTCCCGTGCCGCCCGCCCTCCCTGCCCCTGGGGGATGTCCCCCCCCTAAATCAAATCCCTGCAGCCACAGTCCAATTAGCTCTGCGCCTCTCCTGCAGCTGGGGACCCGGTGGGTCTCGCCGTCAGCGGTGGGCGGGAGCTCCTGGGGACCTGGGTGCTGTGCAGGGTCCTCTCCAGGTGACTGTGACCCAGCGCTCCCCTGTGACCTCGCCTGGGCTCTGCTCCCTCCCCAGCAGAGGAGAGGGCGGCCTTGGCTGCTGCCCGCCCTGCAGCCTGCCAGCCTGTGCCCCCTGCAGCCTGTGCGCCCTGCAGCCTGCCAGCCTGTGCCCCCTGCAGCCTGCCAGCCTGTGCCCCCTGCAGCCTGCCAGCCTGTGCCCCCTGCAGCCTGTGCCCCCTGCAGCCTGTGCCCCCTGCAGCCTGTGCCCCCTGCAGCCTGTGCCCCCTGCAGCCTGTGCCCCCTGCAGCCTGCCAGCCTGTGCCTCCCGTGGTGGCCTGGCTCTGAGAAGGTGCACTGGACGCCAGGCCCCGCCTCTGACGGCCCCAGCTGCAGAGGGAGCTGTCCTTGGGTTGTCCAAGATGTCCAGTGGGGGCTCCCAAACCAGCCCCTGGCCCCAGCAGAGCCAGGTGCAGCCCGCAGGCCCACGCACATCCCGGTGCCTCGCCAAGGGGCGGTGACGTGCGGAGCCAAGAGGGCCGCTTCCTGGGGAAGAGCGGGCGGCCCAGCCCCACCCCTGCACCCAGCGCCCGTCCTCTGGCTCACGGGTGTGCGGGCCTGTAGGGCCCGGGAAGGTGGCAGGTGCCAGGACAGGTGCCCAGTTCACAGAACGAGCGCATCTAAGGTCAGGGTCGCGCGCAGGAAGGACAGGCTGGTCCCCGTGGGTGGCCTGTGCCAGGTTCGGCCAGGGTCCCGCTGTCCCCGGGCCTGGGTGGGCCTGGGTGTGGGCACAGGGCGCCCCCCGCTCTCTTCGTTTGTGTGAACAGGGTCGTTGGACGGGCGTCGTCTCCAGTGGCCGCCGGGTTTGCTCCTGCTGTGTTTTCCTTTGTGACCCTGAAGTCCTGGGGGTGACGGCCACTGTCCTTCTGCGTAACCCGGGTTCGTGCTTCGGTGGCAGGAGGTGGCAGGCCGTGCCGGACAGCGCGGACACTGCCCGTGTCCAGCTCCCTGCTCTTCCCCGATGGGGGGCTGTCCCGGCTGGAAGCGCCCGTCTTGGTAGTGCTCAGGCACCGTGGACGGCCGCGGACCCTGGGCCCGTGTGGACAGCACCTGGCCGCAGCCGCGCTCTGCTTTACCCTCCGACGCTTCTGAGAAGGAAAAGGGACCCGAGGCTTCAGATGCCGCGGCCTCCCCTGACTCCTTCCTGTGGTGGGCGGGCGGCCTGCCGTGACCACGGGGCCCCACCACCGCGCCTCAGCCGGCTGAGTGTCTGCTGCCCGTGTCCTCCCGGAGTGGCCGTCTGTGCAAATCTGGGGGACCCAGCCTGGTCCCCGAGGCCCAGCGTCTTCCTGGGAACTGTCCCCGAGGCCCAGCGTCTTCCTGGGAACTGTCCCTGCTGCCCCCGCCTGCTCTGATCCCTTGGGCCACTGTTCCGTGCCCGGCCACCTGCAGTGGACCGTCCCTCCGTGTCCGCCTCCACCTCTGTCTGGGCGTCTCCGCCCTCAGGAGGAGCTCTTGTGGGCGACAGGAAGTGCACGAGGCCAGCCGTGTAGGGAGAGCCCTGGGAGAGCTGCGGGCCTCCGAGTGCCGGAAGAGCAGGGCTGCGGGTGCCCACTGCGTGGCTGCCTGCCCTGGGACGTGCCCCGTCCTCTACCTGCATCACAACCACTGGCCCTGGACGAGGGCCGCTGCCCCTGGCCTGAGCTGGGGGTGCCCTCCAGCTGCCTGCCCGCTGGTTCTCGCGGAGTCCCTGGGCCCTTGGGGACTGACCGTGCACAGGGGCGGGTTTCCGTGGCCCTGGTCCTGTGGGCTCTCCTGTCGCCTTCCTATGCTGACTCACACGTGCCTGGCCCCACCCCGAGTCTCGGGGCTCCTTCCCCTTCTCCTCCTCTGTGGGCAGTCCCGCAGGACACGGTGGACAGCCCTTATCTGACAGGCCGGGGCCACAGTGGCTCTACCTTCTAATTGTGGAGTATCTGCCTACACCTGACGGGTGCCTTGGGGTGAGGTCTGTCTAAACACAGGACTCACTCATGCCCCTTGTCCACGTGACCCCCGGCCGTCCTGTACCGGGCTTCCAGTGACTTCCGTGGGTGGGTGTCCCTCTGGTAGGCGTGGGAGCGCCCGGACTGTGAGATCCCGGAGCGTCTTGGATTCTGGGGTTGGAGATGCTGCGTGGGTATTTCAGCTGCCAGTGCCTTGTTTAGATCGTTCTAGAATCAGGAGGGACACGTGGTGAGCTGAGCGCAGGAAACTGAGAAGTCTCTGGCGTCCACCTGGAATGGCCCTCCCCTGGCCCTCCTCCCTCTGGCTTCACTGCGGCTGTGCAGAGCCCTGAGCTGGGAAGGGCCGCCGTCTTGCCCCTCACTCCAGACCCGGCTGCATGCGGTGGACCTGCTGCCCGGTGGCCGCCACAGCCTCCTTCCTCAGTGCAGAGCCACCAGATCGCAGCAGGTCCGCCGCCGCGCTCCAGAGAGCAGCCACGCGCACACACACAGGGAGGCTGCCCTGTGACCCGAGCCAAGCGCTGTCACCCGGGGCCAAGTGTTCCTGCCCCCACCCCTCGTCCTGTGGGCCGACTGCACACCCTCCCGGGTCCCCGACTGCACACCCTCCCAGGTCCCCGACTGCACACCCTCCCAGGTCCCAGGAGGACACAACATCTGTCCCGCCCAGTCATGGGACACGTCTGTGCCTGTGCATTAGAGTACACCGCCTGTGACTTTAAAAAGGCTGCCACAGGGACAGGCAGGGACAGGCAGGGAACCAGGACAGCACACCCTGGTGGTCCCAGGTGGCTCCTTTCCTGGCCCTCGCCCAGCGCAGGCCTGTGGCTAGCCCAGGACCTTCCATCCCCCACCCCCTGGTGCATGGCGACCCTGGCAGCTGCTCCTGGGGACCCCAGTGCTCCCAGGGAGGGACTCCTCATTCCTGTGGGCAGGGAGTCCGCTAATGGGCTGGGGAAGGGAGGGCGGGCAAGGAGGCCACGTCCCGCTACGGAGGGCTGCCGCGGGGCTCAGAGGAGGCTGCAGAAGGAGGGACCACCTCCGCAGCCCAGCCCGGGGCCGGCTCCGAGGGGAAGGGGAGCTGCGGGAGAGGCCCTGAGCACCCTGGGGCCGTGGGGCGTCTCCCCTGCAGCCAGGGGCTGTGGCAGCCGCAGGACGGACGGCAGCGGGACACCGTCTTCTCCTGCGGTGGCTGCTGGAGTCTGCAGCCTGCTGTGCTGACCACCCCCGCCCCAGGGGCACAGG